TTCCGTGATATCTGGTGGCAGTAATTCTTCCTCCTCCTCCTCCTCTATGTCTTCTTCTTTCTTCTGTCTCCTCTGTTTCATCTTCATGTTTTGAGTGCGTAGGATTGGAAGCAACAGATCCTTGTCCCAGTTCCCAGCTGGCAGGACTACAGAGTCATCGATGAACTCGTTCATAGCGCTCAGTAGGTCATCCATACAGTCAGCACTGTAAGCAGTCTCATGAAAGTGCTATGAAATATGACACAGGATTGGATCAGAGTTAAAATAACCTTAAATGAAGGCTGGAACCAAGTAGGGAGACAGTGGACAAAGTGAGACAGAATAGAAACAATGCCTCAGGTCATCAGGAACAAAACGAGATAGCACAAGCAATCCATAACTACATGTATTTCATGAGGACTTGAAGTGTTGTCAAAAGAGCCTCACAACTGCAATAATAATGCATTAGAAAATTAAAGTGTTTTGAATGCAGGAGAGACAAAAGATGAACAACTTACCTCGCTGGACATGAGAGTTGAGAAGCAACGACCCAGCTCATGATAATCCACTGAGCTAAGACTCGGTCCAAGCAACACGAAGACAAACCTAACAGGAATGGGCACCTCAGAGAAATTCTCTAACACTGTTCCCTTAGCAAGACGGACAAACACCACGGTGGGTTTCTTGAGGAAGTCAACTTCACCAACTAAGACAGTAGTTGCCTCTGCATCCGCAGGAATCTTGCGCATAATGCCTTCAAGACGTTGCTGGTCTAACCTCTTAGCGAAGGATCGGGAGATGTGGATGGGTCTTTGCGTTGGAACACTAGATGAATACTGATTGTTGATGGGAGCACTATCATCAATGTCAGGAATGCTAAGTTCCTCTTTGGACGGCATCAACATTGGAGTCTTGATCTCAGTCTGAAAGTTGAAATCAAAGGACAAATCAGGTTTTGAAGAATCATCACAACATGACAAAAACCCACCCAATTTTTAATTTTTTTTTTTAATTTCAAGTTGAATTCTGTCGGATACATAATTCCTGCTTTCTTTTCCTGCATTCTCAGAATGCCACGGTTGGGAAAGGGGTCAAGGCTTAACTCTCCATTTGAAAAGTGTGATTGCCTTTGCTGGTAAGCATCTGCAGGAGCAATCTACAGGTAAAAAGAACTGACATATGAAGTGACGAAGTGACTTCCACTAACCTCGTACAGCAGCTCAATGTCTGCTGGCTCTGTGGCATGTTTGGTCATCTTATCTTTCTCACTGCTTCCACTCAAACTGATTGAGGACATGTTCTTCAGAATGCTATGGCCTTCTTTAAGATGCCTACAAGAACATCATCACAGTTGGGAGTAAAGAAAAGTAAAGCAACCAACCAAGTCACTTCATCATTGTTATTTGTTCCACTCATAAGAAACCTCCCTTGAGTATTTCTTTGCCAATAATTTCTACCAGCAGATGGAGTGTTTAAATCATCACTCTGTAACAGAAAATTTGTGGGTTATTACGTAACGCTTTTTACTTACATACTGAGTTACATCTTTTAAACTGTACCACTAGTACCTACTGACGTACATATGTAAATGGATGAGATATTTAATTACAAACCTTTTGTCCACTTTGGGAAGGAAGTAATGAATTGCAAACATTTCAAAATGGCTGATTTTGTGAATGGCAAAATACAACTGAGAGTGAAAATAACAGAATGCATGCATGTTTTTCAACTGCAAAAGGTATAGATGAATGTGAACATGATGGGGAAGAAAGCTTAAACGGTTGCAATAAGCCGCTTTATAGAAAACAATTGCAGAAAATGCAGCTAAATCCTTAGATCCCATGGATGTACTTTACCACTTTATGACTGATATTATGGACATACATGTACAGCTCATTTCTGCAACAAAAACTGCTCCAGAAAATGACCACTGCTTGCACCCAGCCCACAAAGGAGATATTTTCAAATGAACAAAGTTCAAGCTTTGCCTCCAGGCTTTAACTGAAAAAAATAAAGAAATCAATGCTGCTAACCACATACTTTTATATTCACTTTCCTTGAAAAAAAAACACGTGCAAGACAGGCTAAGATGAATTACTGTCTATCTGATGTGATCATTTTTACAAAGGGAAAGGAAAAGTGCACAGTTGGGCACCTGAGAAACCACACCTGAAATTGACTTCGGATTGGGTGTTCCGATGCATGTTGTCATGGTGATGCCCACCAATCATGGAGGATAAGCTGACTGTGGATAGATTCTTCAACAGGCCGTGACGTTCATGCACGTGCCTGGGGTCAGGGAAGGTCAAGAGAGGTCACTGAAAAGCTCCCATTACGGCTAATCAAAAAATGCTAATCTCTTACTTTATCCCCCTAGCAGGAGTGACTTGTGAACAATGCATTCGAAACACAGCAGTTTCTATGATGTTTTTTTGGTACTTCTTGGCTGATGAAAAGTGAACAGTAAACATGTTTTTGAGTTGTGATGGCCTAGTTGTTAGATTTTTCTTTATCTTATGGTAATAGTACAAAGACCAAAAATGTGAAACTAAGATTTTTAAAAATGCCTCTCTCTAGCCAAGAGCAACTGGGTCACAACTAGGTTGATTATTGAGATTTTATCAGTATTTTATGTCAAATGGAAGCAGCAGAATGGTACACTGAGCAGTGATACTAACGATGGTAGTGCAATGACCTCTTTAGGGGTGAAGAATTGGTGTGCTCTTCAAACCCAAGCCATTATCTGCTGGAGTTGAATGGACTTAAGAATCTATGTGGCAACTATGCCCCTCCAAACACATCTTGTTTCTTTCTACAGTCATGCACGATAATGTACAGTGTACTTGGGGTTTGCAAGATTAGGAAGTGAGCACGTCTCTCATATTTCATTGATGCATTGCAGCAATGCAAAAACACACATTTGAATGAGTGATTACATGTATTAATATCAACACATCAAACAATGAGTCAGTTACTTCCATGGCTAGCATAACTAGCACAAAGTTAGCTTATTGCACAGAAATTCATAAGGTTGTCAACATGTTGTCCCAGTAATCTTTTTCAATACATAATACACTATATGAAAAACCCCCAAACAACTGAAGCGCTTTGATAATTGCTTTCGCAATGCAATGCAATGCGGCTAAGAAAGTATCTTTTCATTTTGAAAACTGGGCAAGATGTAGCAAGGCTGAGGTGATGCTCGCACATTCCTGGCACTGGTATCAAAGATGCAGGATATTTTGCAGGATGGAGTTTGTATGGGCATAGGTAGACATGGAGAGCTCCCTGTCTGTATGCACTATGGGAAGGTCAAGCTCACAGTCATCACAAGATGGGTAGGTTGACAAGGTAAAGGAACATTTGACAAATTTAATAAAGGGCTCGTTTTAATGGTAACAGTAACACTGAATTTAAAAAACCATACCAATTTGAGCAGTGCACGCTGTGGCATGTGTAAAACTCGACAACGATTTGACAGGAAAGTGCAAAAATAAAACAAAACAAATACATCGCAGACAAAAGTTTCAGAAAAAAAAACATGTTTTGCACATAAATACAACTTGCAACAAATCAAGCAGTTCAATTCTTTTGGAATATGCTGTTTGCATCTCAATAGCAAATTCCTCTGGAATTTCATCTTTTAAAGTTTTGCACCATTTAATTCTCCCAAACTTCTACAGTTGTGGGGATTCAAATCTAAATAGCACGTGTTCATGTAAGACTTCCAGTCTTGGAAAATTGTTTGGATAGCTGCCATTTTGTTTCATGCCAAATGTAGGAAATTTTTGTTTCATGCAAATTTAGGGAATTGTCGTTTCATGCCAAATTTTTGGAAAGCACAAACACTGGCCAAAATCCCAAGAACTGAACTGAAATCTTACCTGTGTTTGAGCAGCAGAGCTCTCATTACATCGCCTGTATTCTCCTCCATGATCTGATCTGATGTGATCATCTTCTCCACAATCCGATGGAAGATATCAGATAAATGTGTCTCTTCCAAATCCAAAAGGGTTGCACCTTTAAGAGGTAAGGAAATTCAAATTACAAATAGTTCTACAGATAAAGTTGATGACTTTCTCCGGGTGTTTACGTATTATCAGCGATGTGGATTGATGTTTACACTTCTTCCGTCTCTGTTGAAAGCTACACTTTCCTCCACATAAACATGGATTATCTATATTACGTTTTACCCTCTTGGACTGGTTAGAGTGGCACAGTTATGTTATGTACATCGGTTCCACATGTAAGCATACAACTTATAGTGGGATGTGGGTACTTTAGGTTAAGTGCCCAAAGAGTTGGAAGGGGCCAGACATGAAATCAATTTGTTGGGCAAACAAATCTACAGCCAAATCTACGCTCCATATTCTTACCCTGTGCCAACAGTTTGCGTAGCTCTATCAGACTATGGAATGTCAACGAAGCAATGTGAGGCTTGCCCCATCTATCAGAACCCTCCTCAACATCCTCCTCAAACTTGATCCAGCGTGCTTTCTCCTTCCACTGCATATCATGACCTTCAACCTTGTATAACTCATCTAGTTCTACAAAGACCTGAGGAAATTCCATGGGAAAGGTATGAAGTCAATTTATTTACTTTTTTATAGCAATCAAGGTGGATCTGTTGTTCAACAACGCATTTCCAGATTTTTAGACTAATAAAGAATTTTAAATACTACGCCTTTTCATCATGCACATGAAAGTATAACAGAAACAGAAATGACACTGAACAAGACATACAAAAGAAATGGAAGAAAGTACTCTGACCAAGCAAAGCACTTGTGACGGGCGTATTTTCTACCTACCTCATGAGGTCGGTGATCAAATTCCTTCTTCCCTCCAGTCTTGGCCATTTGGTCCAATACTTCAGTAGATCGTTGACCGATGTGGATCAAGGAGCTCACTTTCCTTGTTACTCTGTGTCGATGAACTCCAGGAACATCCGCTAGTCGATGAACTACATGTACAAGACAACGATCACACATTAGTAACAACTAGACAGTCCGCTGGGTTTTCAACTTGACTTGAAACTTTGTGATCCACTGAAGTTTATATATTGATAACTCACTGGCTATGTCATCCAAATCAGCTTCTTTAAGGGTCATGGCTTCATCCAACTCTGTAGGGACTCTAGTCATTCCCTCTAGGTTGACACTACTCCCTTTACGGTATCTTAGCTCTGGAACATCAGTAGAGCTATGCTTCTTATGATGGTGATGATGTCTATGATGCCGATGGATTGCATCTTCAGGCCTGTAGATAAAGTCAAAAACATGTAGGATTAAGTAGGATATGTGTACTGTAAGACCTAGCCCAGGTTGGACCATGTCTACATTGTATTGCGACTAACGTCCAGGATATAAAAGTCCTCCTACTATGCGAAATTTTTTTCAACAGTTCTTTTCACAAATTTACCTGGCGAAGACAGCTCAAAATGTCGTTCACAAGTGCCTTATATTCCCAATTCCATAAATGCTGTGTTGAATTACTAAATTAGCCCACGGACAACGTACTTTGCAGGAAATGCTGCAAAACTCCATGCTTTCCATCGGCAGCGATTCGTTGATGATCTACATGTACATACACGTTTGTCGAGCACGCATACTTGCACATACGCGAAATGCATAGTAACTGAGTGCCCCCTTACGCATGCACGGAAGAACCGTGGGCATGAAGAAGTGAAAAACAGGCTTCCAAAGATACAGCTAGGTCTATTGTCTACACGTCTCCACGTATTTGTTATGGAGCAAAGACCTAGACCTAGCTCTAGACAACATGTATGACTGAAAGAATGTGGGCCGAGCTTGGAGGCCATTTCGCGCATGCGCAAATGCATATTACCACACGAATGTAGGTCGTTAACGAATCGCGATGGAAAGCATGGAGTTTCGCAGAATTTTCTCCAAAATACGTTGTCCAAGTTATTGAACTGAATTATGGTGTCTAAAATGATTAGACGTTTAGTCCAATCCTTGTGCAATGTGTGATAAAGGTGAACTCAATATTCATAATCAACATATCAATTCCATTTCTGTTTTTGTTCAACACAAGCAGTAGCTTAGATATATCCATATTCGCATACAACTTTCCAATTGCAGACTTACGTCAGATAATCCTTGTCTTTATGGTGATGGCGGTGATGATGATGGTGGTGATGATGGTGCTTGTGGTGGTGTTTTCTTGACTCAGCATCTTCCACTGGGGTATTTTCCATAGTTTCTGGTTCTTGACCTCCCATGTGATAACTACCTTCTTCGTCTTGATCTGGATCCCCGATGGTGAACTGTC